GACCAGGATGGACAGGATTAGGAATGAGCACATCAGAGGGACAGCTCAGGTCGGCTGTTTTGGGGACAAGGTCAGAGAGTCCAGATTGAGATGGTTTGGACATGTGCAGAGGAGGGATAGTGGTTATACTGGTAGAAGGATGTTGGAGATGGAGCTGCCAGGCAAGAGGTCAAGAGGAAGGCTAAAGAGGAGATATATGGATGTGCTAAAAGATGACATGAAGTTAATTGGGGTGAGAGTAGAGGATGCGAGGATAGAGTTAGGTGGAAACAGATGATTTGCTGTGGCGACCCCTAACAGGAACAGCCAAAAGAAGAAAAAGAAGAAGACTGGTTGCATCATAGGAAAGTTATTCTTGCTCTAAGCTATCTGTAATGTAACAGGCTACTTATAATATTATTTCTACTCTTACAGTTTATTTAAACGATTACATTATGAAATCTAGCTCAAGTATATTTTTGATCGAGAGTAGCCTACCTTACTACTTTGTGAAAGGCAGCACATAATATGAGTAGTTTACTGTAGTGCAGTGTACTGCTGTCCTACTGGACAAATAGAAAGTCACTTTCGGCTTTTCTCGTTAAGGGGTTGTCACAGCGCATCGTCACACTGACTACTCGCATGTTGACATTTGGCACGTGTTTTACGCCGGATGCCTTTCCTGACGCAAACCTGATTCGAACCTGGGCCGTAGCTGCAAGAGCACTGCGCTGTAACCACTAGCCTACCTGGGACGGCAAAGTGTAGTGTACTGCTGTCCTACTGGACAAATGTAAAGCAATTTTCCATAAACCCTAAGATGGTCACGGCTTTTTAGAGCAAGAGCATCGCGTGTATTTTGTCGAATTCATATTAAAATTATATTATTAGTAGTAGTAGCTGTAGCACTGTCTTCGTAGGCCAGTAGTAGTCGTGGTGATGTATTTGCGTTTGGCGACACTGGTCAGGCTGTTTCCCTGACGGACACGCCCCACGTTCAGCTGGTTCATTCACATCAGCTGATTCTAACTCGATCAAAACAAGATGAGGACGCTGTTTTTGTTGCTGCTCTGCTGTCACGTTGCATCTGCAGGTAGTATCACAGTCGTTGCTGTAAATGTTGTTGGATTTGGTCAGTGTCCTGTGTAACACCACCGTCTTTTCCTGGGAGTTAAACCTACATAGTTTCACTTTCACTTTATTTAATCACGCGGAACTTAGTCTATACTGTAATATAGTAGGCTATACGGTAACTATCTTTACATTTATTTTTATAAAGTCACCGCCATCTTCCAAAACGACCATACAATGCTCTTCTTTGTGGCTTACGAGGTAGGGCAGTCGTCTTCTAACCAGCAAGTTGGTGGTTCGACTCCCGGTCTCCCCGCATGCCTAAACATCTCTCAAACTGTTTCAACAAAAATTGAACAGTATCACCATGGTGAAGGGAAAGGGGAAATTGCAGGGTTGTATTAGACTACATTAGTTTTAATGGTGTACCTAATAAACTGCCACATAATATTGCTGTAGTCCATGGGTTTATGCTAAAAAGCCTTTTAAGGTATATATAT